CCGAGGGTTCTGGATCCACGGAGATCCCCGGAACCTACTACTATTGCACTAAAGGCTGGCCACAGGTGAGGTTTCAGTGGGTACAAACCTCTCATAACTCTGTCTTTTCCACAGAAGGAAGGGTATCTTTTTTGAAGATTTCCCCCCAACCCGATACAACAAAATGGTACTGGGTATAACCAAGTTAAGGTTGACACATGTTTGTAGCTGGCACGTGCTAGTTGGCATGCAATCATACTATACTTACGTGTCTATTCTAGGACTTATGTTGTATGACAGACTCCATCAATTTCATGTTAGTTAAGCAAATGTCCAAACTATATTTTTAAAATTCTGAACTATGCAATTCTGGACTGAAATTGGTTTTGGTGTGGGATTAACAATCAGTCAAAAACTAACCTTACTTGAGGTACTTAAGGTTTAGTTTGCTTTCAATTGATAAGTATTTTTCGATTAGTTTTTAGAATCAAAGTGCTACTAAGAATAGTTCCAATATTTTAAACGGTTAAGTCAGGGATTATTTTTAAACGTACGTCAATATCCAATTATGTGATGTAGTGCAAGCCAAAGCAATATTTATCTCATACTTCAAACAATTCGAAAAGCAGAATCCAATGCAATCGAGAGCGCGTCCATTACGCAACGCAGGCACTGAATGGAAAAGTGAACAGGCTGTATGACGTATGGCCCAAGTTACAAGCCACGTTCATTGTTAGAACTTCCACACACTACAGACTTTACCAGTATACTTGTATGGAGGTAAAGAAAAATTCCAGGCCATAGAACGAAATATATGTGAGATACGAGAAACATCAATACCTCCTGCAGTGGATGTCCTAGTTAAGTTAAAAATATTTTCCAGAAACGCTTCCGTTTATAATTTGTAACAAACTCTCGCCGCAATCGATGTGTGGTATGAAGAGCGAATCGATTTAATAACTGTACTTCCGATTTTACGCTCCAACGCCGTGCAATACGTTCTCAGCTATAGAACAGAGACGAACTTTTTTAATCTTAAGAAATTTTATCTCAGAGTTATATCTTCAACTACAAACGTTTAACGTTATGTATTTACCAAGTACCAAATATTTAATGCCTGGAAGGTCTTCCTTATTTTACTTCTTTCTAACATTAGAAGATCCTGCACATCTGAAACTAAACGATTGCACAACTGTTTAGTCTCGCTCTTATTCTCGCTCGATTTTTAGTTCTGGAACTAAACAGTTGAATGGGCAGCAAAACAATCGACAATCGCACACAACAGTTGTGTGATAGTTTACTCAAAGGTGTGTTCTAAATGCG